ATTGTTCCCTTATGGAGAGGATGGTTATCGCGAGGATACGTTGTTATCCAAGGCCTGTAATATTGTTGGAGGTGGTAGACAAAGGGTAAGTGTTAGGGAGTTTCTTGCGTATCGTGTGCAGGAGCGCAGCGACAAGCATTCATCTATGTTGAGGATGAAAAGGCTATTTCAGCAATTCATTGTTGACGGTTATACCCTGGTCGAGGCTGCGAGGTTGAAGTTTGTTAGGACGCATCAAACGCAGCTTCGATGTGATATGTATAAAGGTTTGAGTGATGCCTTTTTGCGTGGAGAAAATGATTCACGTACACAGGGAAAGAGAATTGTGTTGCCTCCTACATTTACTGGCGGAGCACGTTATATGATACAAAATTATCAGGATGCCATGGCCATCTGCAGATGGGCAGGTTATCCAGATTTATTCATAACCTTTACGTGCAATCCAAGATGGCCTGAGATAGATCGTTTTCTTCATCAGAGGAATTTGAAAGCGGAAGATCGTCCAGATATAATAAGTCGAGTTTTCAAGGTCAAGCTCGATGGTTTGATTAGAGATCTTCGCAAAAATAAGGTTTTTGGAAACGTCCGAGGAGGTATTTTTTGTGATTTATTCCTTATATCGTTGGACCATTATTCATCTTATTTTACCTCCTCTATTTTTTTTTCCAGTTGTATACACGATTGAGTTTCAGAAGCGTGGTTTGCCTCATGCGCATATTTTGTTGTGGTTAGCAAACGAAGATAAATTACCATCACCTACTGATATAGATAGGGTAATATCTGCAGAAATCCCCGATATAAACTCTGACCCTATGTATTATGCTGCTGTGAGGGATTTTATGATGCATGGCCCTTGTGGTAATATTGCCAAGTCTGCCCCTTGCATGGTTGACGGTAAATGTACCAAACACTTTCCTAAAAAATGGTGCACTGAGACAACCGTAGATGACGACGGTTATCCAATGTATAAGAGGAGAAAGGATAATCGCACAATTACAAAGAATAAGGTTGATTTGGACAATAGGTTTGTTGTTCCACACAGCCGTTATTTGTTGATGAAATACGGAGCCCATATGAACGTGGAGTGGTGTAATCAGTCAAGGTCCATCAAGTATTTGTTTAAGTACATAAACAAAGGACGTGACCGTGTCACAGCAGGATTTTACCAGACAGTTGATGGGGATGCGCAACAAAAGCCAGTTGATGAGATACAGATGTACTATGATTGCAGATACGTATCTGCGTGCGAGGCTGCTTGGCGCATCTTTGGGTTTGAAATTCAGTATAAGACTCCGCCTGTTGAACGTTTGAGCTTCCATTTACCGGAAGAACAAAGTGTGGTATTTCGCGATGATCAGCCTCTCGATTCGGTTGTTCGAGCATCTTCGGTTAAGGATAGTATGTTCACGGCATGGATGGAGGCCAATAAGAAGTACCCGGAAGCGAGACTTTTGACATATGCAGAGTTTCCTCAAAAGTTTGTTTGGAAAAAGAAGACAAGAGAATGGGCTCCTAGAAAACAAGCATTTGCTATAGGCAGAATATATTATGTCCACCCCGGTAGTGGTGAATCTTATTACATCCGGTGTCTTTTGAATCACATTCGCGGTGCAACATGTTATGAGGATTTGAGAAGCTTGAATGGTGTTATTTATGATTCGTATCGTGATGCGTGCTATGCTTTGGGCTTGCTCGACGATGATAGAGAATTCATTGATGCCTTCAGTGAGGCGAGTCATTTCTCATCTGCTTATTGTTTGAGGGTTCTATTTGTAATATTGTTATGGACAGAGTCAATGGCACGACCAGAATATGTTTGGAGAAAATCTTGGTCTTTTATGGCTGATGACATTCAATATACGAGAAGGCGAATATTACAACATCCAGGTACTGCCTTCCATGCGTATTTACCATTAAAATATCTTACATCCTAACAATGTAAGGTTTGGAATTGTTCTAAATTTTATTTAACAAATTATCTCCGCGATAATGCATCTTGAATTTATTTGATTTCCTTATTTGTAGATCTAATTCTTTCTGACGACCAATTGGAGAAGTTTGCTTTGGAAGAAATCGAAAGGTTGTTACAAACCCGTGGAAAAAGTTTGCGCGATTACCCTCCGATGCCTACAGTGGTTCTTGATTCAGTCTTATCTTCTAATGACAGACTTATATTTGAAGAAATGCGTTACGATCAAACTGCAATGAGGGAGGAACATTCAGCGTTGTTCAAATCTCTTACAGATGAGCAACTACGAGTGTATGATGAGATAATGCGATCTGTTGATGAAGAGGTTGGTGGTATATTTTTTGTCTATGGGTACGGAGGTTCAGGAAAGACATTTGTGTGGAAGACCCTTTCTGCTGCCATTAGGTCTAAAGGGGAGATTGTTCTTAATGTTGCATCCAGTGGTATAGCATCTCTTCTTTTGCCTGGTGGACGTACGGCTCACTCTCGCTTTGCAATACCAATTAATCTAAATGAAGACTCCACGTGTAATATTAAACAGGGAAGTCCCTTGGCTAAGCTCATTATACGGTGTAAGTTGATTATATGGGATGAAGCACCAATGTTGCACAGGTTTTGTTTTGAGGCATTGGACCGCAGTATGAGGGACATAATGCATTTCCGCAAACCTGGTAGCGGTTCTCTTCCATATGGGGGAAAAACAATGGTGTTTGGTGGTGATTTTCGACAGGTGTTGCCAGTGATACCTCAAGGGAGTAGACAGGATGTAGTCAATGCGACGATTAATTCATCATATCTGTGGTCGGAATGCACAGTACTTCGGTTGACAAAAAATATGCGCCTGCAAAACATGACTAATCCATCAGATTCTTACGATTTGAAGGTATTTTCGGATTGGATTGCCAACATTGGTGACGGTGTCGCTGGTGAAAGTAATGATGGTCATGTTCGTGTTACTATTCCTTCAGATCTATTGATACGCACTGATGGAGATCCTATCGCTGCCATTGTAGAAAGCATATTTCCTGAATATGTTCAATCTGCAGCTGATGTGAGTTGTTTGCGCGACCGTGCGATTCTGGCACCAACATTGTCAGTGGTTGAAGCTGTTAATGACTATATGACAGCGCTTAACATTGGCGAAGTTTCACGGACATATCTTAGTTCTGACACAGTTTCTAAAGTAGAATCGACATCCGATCTGATGGCGGAGCTTCACACACCTGAATTCTTGAACAGTATAAAGTTATCGGGTGTGCCGAATCACAAGTTAACGTTAAAGGTGGGGACACCCGTAATGCTCTTGCGTAATATCGACCATTCGATGGGATTGTGTAATGGGACACGTCTTATATTAACGAGGCTTGGTGATCATGTTTTGGAGGGCAAGATTTTAACTGGTGTGAGTGCCGGACAAAAAGTGTTGATTCCGAGATTGTCCTTGACACCATCGGATACCACCTTGCCTTTCAAATTTCATAGGCGACAATATCCTGTTATGACTTCATATGCTATGACTATAAATAAAAGTCAAGGTCAATCTTTGTCGCGTGTTGGGCTACTGTTGAAAAAACCTGTGTTTACCCATGGACAGTTGTATGTAGCAGTATCCAGGGTGACCAATCGGTGTGGTTTGAAGATTCTAATTGTTGACGAAGATGAGGGAACCACTGACAAGACTCAGAATGTTGTGTTTAAAGAAGTGTTCAACAATGTTTAGATAAATTTTAAATGAATATTTAAAAGCTAATGTTTCGACATATTATTGTGATGCTTTTGAACTTTTATGTAATAGGTGGTTCTCTAATTTTCACCATAATATTATCATTGTGTTTCGTCTATAGCGTTGATGTATATCTGCATTACACGACATTGTATGGTGGCATCAATTAATATGGTGTTGTGAATTCTCGAACACAAATAAATTTCATAACAAAAATCTCATGCCGTGCATCGCACGGGTGAGTTTACTAGTGCCGTTAGAATTGCAGCTACAATTACAATTGATCATAGAATAAATTAAGAGAGATCTAGTTTATTCTAAGACACCTTCACACACACTTAATCGTTCGCTAAGAGATTAGTAGCGTTTATGGAGCCGTACGCTCGCTCGTTTTGGAAATAATTTAAGATCCTGTCGCATGAGAGATCAGTCTGGTCCCCCAAATTACTGTACTCTACGCCGCGAGAGCGGTAAGGAATTAGTAATGATTAGTGTTGCTCAATTAAATTAATTTCATGTAATTAAGCATGATCAGCCAGAAATCTGGTTACCCCAGAATCAATCTCTATTCCCTTCGTCGTTAATTAGAAAGAATCAAGCTTTTATTCGTATTAATTGCATTTTAATTTTTCAAACCACCAATCTCGCACAATTGCTTTTATTTTATTTCTTTTTAACCGCTTAATTTATTTAATTCTTAATTCCCGTTTGTCCGTCCATGTGGAAACGATACTCATACTTTCACTACTTTACTACTATCAATTTTAATTGTGAGAAAACTCACATCAATATGTAATGATCAATAGCTTCAGTTGAATGTTTTACACAAAGATCTATAGTGGTGAACTGGTGATGTTTCATGGTAACTTTACTGAGAGATATACATTAATAACATTATTCTCAATAACTCTATATATAATGTCACAATGACCCTACCATGGAAAGCTTAATACATTGATTACATTTATGAGTTAAAATTTATGACATATAGCGACAATCCGACCAGATAAACAGTCTAGTCAGAAAATATTATATTTGTTTATAATAAGAGTGATATACCTTGTGCAATGTACGTGTGAAAATTTGTACTAGAAAATATTTGTATGCAACCAACACAAACTATTAAAAACTTGATCATCGTGTGCAACCCACAAGTGAAAATACTAGTTTAATTCCCATAACTTCAATTTTAATGTTATGTAATGAATGAATGAAGAATTGGCAAATTTTTATGTGTGCAAAATGTGCATTGATCGAGGGAAAATGTAGATATATGAAATGATATGTACAAAGAAGTATTTCAAAACCTTAATAACCGTTCTCTAAATAAGAATTGTATTTCAAAATCACTATGAATTGGTTATTAATACAAATTTTTCTATTGTTGGCATAAATATGGTTATTAGTGTCTTTACAATTCCGAGAATCATTAATAGCAAGGGCGTTGTCATCAACAAAACACATACTGCAAAAAGCAGACAATTTGTACAACATCATAGGAATTAATTCAAAAATATGAAGAAAAAAATAGCCTACTGCTTTTAACATTATCTCAATTGGAGCCCTGTCATATCCTGGAGTTGTCTCTACCGAAGACTAGTGTTGTTGCCCAATTCACAGCTACATAAAACCGGTTTCTCCAGCTGATAACTCGTGTCAAATAAGCCGATCGCCATATGAACCAACTCACGAAGCCTGCCATTGAAATACCTTGGGAGTCCTGACAATGGCGAGTTACAAAATAAACAACAGGTTAGATCGAAACGTTTTTTTAACATGGCAATAATCAATGGGCGGATTGGCATTTAGCGGTTAGCAGTTAGTGGACTATGTTAGCGGGGTGTCAAATGTCAATAGCAGATTCGATCGGTCAGTTTGACTAGCGGGGATAAATCGGCTGGTTGTAAGAAGATGTTCCGTCCAAAAACATTAGGGCCAAACATCGTTATCACTTATTGCGCACACCCCCAATGTTTTATCAGTTTTGTACACCTTTTGTACACCATGTCCGTACACCCCCCAATGTTTTATCAGTTTTGTACACCTTTTGTACACCATGTCCGTGTACGGACAACTTTTAAATTTTTGAGTTTTTTAGACGACTTGTTTGTGTACACCAACAGGATAGGGAGGGACTATAGAATTTTCCGTTTTATAAACCCAGCCTAATTCCACCTAGTGACCAAAAAAACCTATACGTCCACAAAAGAGTCATATATGGTGGCTCTTTCATTTTTTTTATGAATGTACTTTGTTCTCTATTTTTGTAATATGATTGGGATAACAATGATCCTAGCTCCACGAAGTTGTTATTTGTTTTGAAGTAAATGATTAAAGATCAAAGAAAATAATAATAATATTAACATATATATTGAAAATATCGATACATGAAATTTGCACTGAACCATAGTTTTTAATCTAAGCAGAAAGACATTTTTCATAAGCCTCAAGTGTGTGTATGTGTGTACGTATCACACACACTATGTGCCCACATGAGTTTTGGCCCCAAATTTTATACTACTTACGTTCCGTCCCAAAAAAGGGTCATATTTGGTCAAGGTACAGCCATACAACTGATGCAAGTGTACAACTTTCAAAACTTTGACAAGGTACTACACTCTAATATGTCATGGGATCCTACTTGCTTCATTTCGTTTGTTTTCCCCTTTAGCTTCATACACCCATACAGACGCTGTTTGTAACTACGTGTTTTATAAAATAGCTGTTTATGAAAGAAGGCTTTATTTCTGGAAAAGAAGCTTTTCAAACTATGAAGTTATGCCCCCAGTAGACCACTGCCTGGTGACTGGTGCATTTTAGAACGTATTGTCACGTGACGACTTCAGCAACTTCTGCGTGACAGCTTGCCATAATAACAAATCCACTTTTGTTCATATGGCCAAAATACTATTTCGAGCATCATATTTTGCAGTAAAGATTGGGATTACTATAAATGTGAATACCTTGGACTGGCGCAAGTCAACCAGAGCCTTGTAACGCCCTACAGAAGCCATACTTCCAAGATGATTGTAGACGAAAGGGTCTCCCAGCTTTAAATCTTTTGCAGATAAGGCTTTTCCCCCAGTTTTCTTTCCGATCCTGTTAAACACCTCCACAAGGTACTTTCCTTGTCTTTCTGCAACCTGTTCCAACATGTAACAGACACACACATATATAATGTGTAAACTAACAAATGGTTTCTCAAATACAGATAATGTGAAACTTAGATGAAGCTTAGGGAGTAATCTCAGTAGACACCTGAGCAAGAGCTGGTAGGACTGGTCTCCCGGTCTTCTCCAGAAAACCGGCACAATCACCAAGAGCAAACACATCATCTACCTCAGGGACTCGCAACCATTCATCTACACCAATTCTGAAATGTGAAAACGTTAGTTTTGATTTACGTTGCACGTTTATGTTCATTTAAAAAGTTGAAGAAATATATTTAGAAGATGGTTGAGGGGCAGTGTATACCTTCCTCCAGGGGACTTTGGGAGATGTAGCGATTTTACAAATTGGGATGGGCCAACTCCGGTAGACCAAACTAGGAGCCCAAATGGAACTTCACTTCCATCACTCAGAACTATTTTCTTAGGGTGTACCTCTTTCACAATGCCACGTACCAAGCGGACCCCGACCTAACGTTAAAAAAAATGATTCCAGGTTCAAAATGAGTAGAGAAATAACAGGACATATTTATAGCTATTTGGTAAGGGTTATTTTGCTAAAATGGTTACCCGATGATTTTTGTTAACGCCTTTGGGATGACTTTTCAAATAAGTACTTCTGTAAAATGCCCCCATTTTGGAATGAGGATTTCTTATTTGGTAAAGTCATTTTTATTTCAATAGAAGCATGCAAAACATAGCTCTTGAAATCTAGCAAATGTGCTATTACATGTTTTTTGAAATGTAATCCCAAACGAGATCCAAGCAAGACAACATCTACTTATTCAGCTTTGAAATGCCTTATAAGCAGCTTTTCGCTTACATACGAATATATTAAGATGAAATTGACAACCAAACAGAACCTTAAATCACGAAGAGAAAAGAGAGTTAAATATACCTTGGTCAAGTGTTTTGTTGCGTATTCTCTCAATCCAACATCAAATGAGGATAAAATCTCATTTGCCTAATCATTAACACAACAACAAAAGAGTGAATGAAAGTTTTTTGCGTGTCAAGGTTCCAAACTAACTTCTTATGTACACCCTAGAAACTACAAGTATACCTCAATAAGGGTAACACGGATGTAGTTTTTGACATGAGTGTATCGTTGACGAACATCTCTCATTATAAAATCACTCAACTCGCCACTGAATTCAACACCCGTTGGGCCACCTCCAATAACAACGCAGTGCAACAATTGTTCCCTCTCTTCTTCGGATACACCTGTGGTTATGCATTAAAACTCATTTCAACATTAAATGATCAAAGTCTAAATTTAATAAGCATTTGATATACCTAAGTTGTTTAGCATAGCCAGACTCAAACAAGTGTTACTTTAAGTACTTTCTAAAATGTGAGTTCAGATATCATGTATATAACTTGTTGGCAAGAAGCATAGTAAGAACGAAGTTGCTAGGAGTATTAATTCTTTTATTTGGAATATGAGGGGAAAACAATGGAATCTTGTGGTTTAAGACAAAAATGTCCTTTTACAGTAGCAAATCTCATGGGCCATGGGCCCTTGTAACTAACCGGCTGTAAACATCAATGGTCTATGTTTGTGTTTTCACCCAGAAGAGAATGATACGAAACTTGCATAAAGAAATAAGGATGACCTGGATTTTCAGAGAGCATGAGGTTCAAGAGAAGCCTTTTCCTGATCTCTTGTGCATGATTTACTTCACGAAGGAAAAAAGCGTGTTCCTTCACACCCTTTATACCAAATGTCAAGGGTTCAGCCCCAGAAGCAATCACAAGTTTGTCATATGCAACTTTAAACCGGTAAGGCTCCAGACTCTGTCCACCGTTACCAATTGTCTCACAGAGCACCTATTGTAAAACACTCATTTTATCATCACTGTCTTAATCCAAAGTAAGTGACTTAAATATCCTAAATTTGATTCAGGAACATATACGCTCTGTTGGTAGCAAGCTCTGACTTGCTTACAAAGAAATAAGCAGAATAACCACCTTTTGACTAACTTTTCTGCCCAAAAGCCCATTTTGATTCAGCTTCCAAAATGCCAAAAGTGAATTTGAAACAGAATCAAAGAGATTTTCTGTTTTGACAAGCTATTTGATTTAATTTCTTAATTCAGAAAGCAATGTAACTGAAAGTGCTTCAGGAAAACACAACTTGTTAATGCTTTTAACTTTTCCGAACACCCTGTGGGAAAAACTTCAACTACTTTTACTGCCAAAGCAACTTATTACTTAACTGAATGGACTTTTGAAATCCTACATCCAAACACGAATGTTGTAGATATTTGTTCACTTTAACCACAAAATGTACTTTTGGCCAATGCTTTTGACATAAAAAAATGTATTTAATGTTAACCTTTTTAGGCGTAGAACTAACAGAATGGTCTTTTTGGAATGTTTCTTAATATGTGCAAACTTTTTTAAAATGAAAATTAATTTATGACAGACATGAGTATTTAATAACAACACCAGTAGCAATCGCTAAAACTTGCCTCATGTTTTTCAGTGTCAACACCAGTGCAGTTGGCAAGAAAGAAATAGGAATTTGGGTCCTTTGCCAATGCTGTTTGTATCTGACCGACCGGTTCAGCTACTGTCCGGAACTCGAGGGTCCCAACACACGTCGATGCAAGCAAAGGTGTGAAGACCATATGGTTCCTAGGTGAGATGCAAACAACATCATACACACTTGTGTCGAGCCCTTTAAGAAACCTACAGGCTGCCCAACCCGAACCGAGCACCACCACCCTCGGCTTCTCACCCGGCTTTGTAGCTTCTAATGTGGGATACTTTGGGCTTTCTTGCTCAGAATCAGATACCTCAGCCCTTTGTGCTTGTGAATGAGAAAAACGATATGGAGGCATAAACCTCATTGTGCCTATGCTCTTGAGACTTGTTTGGTTCACCTTTTTAGTAGTTGAGAGATGATCGAGATTGCCGATTGAGGTAGCATTTCCAAAGGTTGGTGAAGGGGTTGTTTGTGCAGGTAGTATACAATTGTCGGTTGCATGAATGCCAAGAGTGCCTCCCGAGCGCCTTAGGCCATTCCTTGCAATCCTTGCCAATGCCATACTCTTCAGGAAGAAATTGTATTGTCTCTATAAAAAAATTCCCCTGTTGAAAAAGAAAATTAGTACTAGTTATTCAATCTACACGTCTAGCTCATAAGAACAAAGAAATTGACTTGTGTAAGTTGGCCCTATGGCCCTTTCAATAACAATAAATAGGATGCATCACAAAACAAATAGGAAACCGTTGGGATGACGTATTAACCCCTTCGTGAAAAAACAAAAGCACATTTTGAAACAAAAATATACCCATATCTCCAAAGTAACAGTTATTTTGAATCCGAGGAAGTAAAATATAACAAACGAATTATTGGAATACTTGAACTTAATTACATGTGAAGCAGAGAAAGGCAACCTAAAATCGGGATAATGAAAAGGAAAACGAAAACACTACAAATACGTTAATCCCTGTCCTGTAGCGAGCTTCCATAAAGGTAGTCAGGTAGATAAATAAACAAAGAAGTAGTCACGATCAGTTACAGAATTAAAGTCAATCCCAATATATACATTCATCTCAAATGCAAACAAAACCATTAAAATACCAATAATGTCGCGCAAAAACTCAGGATCGTTGAAAATACGTATGAAAAAATCGAGATTTGAGCATTTTGAAGATCAATTCAGATAGCACAAAGAAACAAAAATAACAGGAATTATAAGAATAGAAAGGGCATACATTTCGTGAAAGGTTCAAAAAGAGGTACCTTGTTGGGATAGTTATTATTGAAAAAATGGCAGAGAAGGAAGATCGGCGCGGTGTTAGAAAGGGGAATGCCCGGTCTTCGGAGCTCTGTCTTTTCTTTCTCTTCTTCTCGAGCGAAAATTTAGCACTTACTCAGTATTTTGTATGTGGAAAATTTTGAAAGACTGAACTTTGGGGTACAAGAAAGAAAGTGAGCAACTCTCATAATAATATTCATCATCATCACTATAAATGTGGGCGCGCGGTGCATCAGCCGTGAACGTCAAAATCCGAAATTTGAAAAAACAATTACGAGTACCCAATATTTCTCATTTTGCAAAATACTACTTCCCTTCTTAAAAATTCTCCCCGGTTTGACTTGGCACACCTATCAAGAAAGTAGGATAAAGTGGAAATGTGTGATTGTGGTTGTGTGAGAAAAAAGTAAAATAAATGTGAGCCACACAAGTTGTCCAAAACGGAAAAGTGAGAAGAATTTTTGGGAACGGCCCAAAAAGGAAAGTGAGAAGTATTTTTGGGAACGGAAGGAGTACATTTCCTTTCATACTTTCTCAAATTTGATTTCACTAACATTTCATTTTTCCACTTTACCCCTTTATTTATTATTTCACTCTTTATTTTTGTTGATGAAGTTTTCTTTTTATACTTTTTGAATGTTAGAATTATAAAACAACCATTTTATTCTTTATTTTCTTAAACCCCACACCAAAATCACATGCATCTTATATAATGGGATGAAAGTAGTAATTTATTACCTCGGTCCCAATTTGGATTTTGCAATCTTCAAATTAGGTGAGAAATAAGAAAAATAAACATTATGTGGTTGATGTTGTCTAGAGGAAAGAAAATAAACAGAATCACAAATTAGTTGCTTTAATTACATATCAACAAAAATTTTGGGATAACCAAAAAAAGAAATTGACAAAGTCCAATAGGAAGGAGATAGTATGTTTTGATCTAAATCTGATTGAGCTTGGTCTAATTGGGTCATCTTGTCTGAGATCGAAACAAATTTAATATTATCGACAATTTCCTTCAGAAAAAACTTTTATGTTAAAAGTACCTGATTACTTTTATTTCCTCTCTCAATTCTTTTTTGTACTCCCTTCGTCCCGCAAAATTCTTCCCAGTTTGACTTGACACGGAGATTAAGAAAGTGTAATAAAGTGAAAATGTGGTTGTGTAAGGAAAAGATGAAATAAATGTGAACCATACAAATTGCCCAAAAATGGTAAGTGGGAAGAATTTTGTTGGACGGCCCAAAAAAGAAAGTGGGAAGAATTTTGCGGGACGGGGGAGTAATTTTTATCGTTATCTTTTATTTCCAGCATTTTTAACTTTAGTAAGGGTTGGTTTGCAACTCCTTTTAAAAAAACACTTCTCAGCTTTTGCTTTTAAAAAAACACTTATTTTCCCAAACACTACAACTTTTATTTTTCTCGGCTTCTGCATCAAAAGTGCTTTTACTTTTTCTATTACACAAAAAGCACTTATTTTACCAAACACTACCCACTTTTACTTTTCAAAATCACTTTTTTCTCAAACACTATCAACTTTTATTTAATTATTTCTCCTCATTTCATTAGAAAGGACACTTTTTTAAAAGTAGAAGCTGTCGCAAACAGACTCTAAAACCGTGATGCATGTCGCATTTTAATCCGAAAGGAGTACTATGTACGAAGTATATCTCATCCTTTTTAAAAGTCCACAAAAATATAGTTTTAAGGAAACAATTGCATCTTTGGTATTATCGCTTTGTTTTTGTAGTAACTAAAGTCATACGTACTATTTTCTAATAGGCATTAGCCGCATTATGAATCAAAATAGTTTTATACTCCGTATTAAAGAAGGGATATAAAAAAAGGATACACCCATTCCTGAGGGCCCATCACCGACAGGACAGCTAGCTGAGAGGATGTAAATTAAGTTTTGAGCTCACCTTAATGGAAAGAAATTGAGGCTTCATACCAAGAAGGGATATAAGGTGATGTGTTATGCAGTTGTCCAATTTTGTGAACAAGCTAGACAGAGAGTCTTTAATTTGAGCATGAATCAGCTATGGAGGTTGGTTGGTAAAAGGTTGGGTGAGAGGTGAGGAAGCTGATGCGATGGATTAGTGATGGCAATGGGACCGAGAAGGATTCCGACGGTCCAAAAACCTGCGAGTTAGTTAGTCACGTTTTACTTGGTTGGTTAGTTGCCAAAATGTTGGAGCCGTCTATTGCGATTTCGAATATTCTACTCAGATACCTAGTTTTCTTCACTCCATCTTTCTTGGGGACGGACAATGCATGTTACCCATATATTGCGTACGACTGTTTTATTATTGAAAAGAAAGAGGCATGCACAATCAGGGGCGGAGGTACGCCTAACCTTAAGGGGGCCATTGCCCCTCCCAGTTTATTAATTTTTTTTTAGTAATAGTATAGTAATACATTGTTTTGCCCCCCCCCCCCCCCCCCCCCTCCCCCCAAATACTACGGGAGTATTACTTATATACAACATTAGGGGAAGTAAATTCTTGGAGTAGTGCTTCATTGGTGCGGCTAGTTTCACAATTCACATCAATCCATTAGAGAAAGCACAAAAAAAACAAAAGCCCTAAATAATATGGAGTATTTAGTAAATAATTTTTTGTTTACCTAAACATTCAAAAGGTAAGTGTGGCTGCTAAGCATGGAAATCGAAAAGATGCACAACAACTTTAACTCAAAATAGCGTGCCACTAATTAGTGAACAAATTGGTTAATTTGTTGTCAAATAAATCAATATAAGTAATAACATGATGTAAAAAATTAGTTTGTTGTCAAATAAATCAATATAAGTAATAACCTTATGTAAAAAATTAGTTTGTTGTCAAATAAATTAATATAAGTAATAACATTATGAAAAAATTTAGTGAATAATTAATTATATGACATTAGATTATTCGTATGATTATGACATTGTACTTTTTAATATTATAATTGAATATCACATTTTTAGCCCATTTGTTAGAATTTTTTTTAAATTTATGTAGATGACCTTTTTAAATATTTTATACGAAGCATTTTAATACATATTATATTTCGCCCCCCCTTATACTAATGTCTGGCTCCGCCCCTGTGCACAATTTAAGTAAGGCCCACCCCAACTGGGCTTCCAAGTTCCAACTTCCTCCTAAACTAGTATAGTACCCGTGCGATGCACGGGAAATTACATCTAATATATCGGTGAGCATATTGAAATGTGATAAAATTGGGAAAACAAATACGTAAATGAAAATCTATATGAAATATAACAATTTTTTTTACAACATTTCAAAAGATTTCTCATTATACAACATTTAGAGCCCGTTTGGTAGCATGAAAATCGGCTGATTTGGCTGATTCTGCTGAAATTTATGAAATTCTGGCTGAAGTAGCTGCATTGGCTGATTCTGGTCATATAAGAAAAATTTATTTTCAAAATATATTTTATTAATAAAATAAAGAAATAATTATATGTAAAATAGCTAAAATGATCATCTAGAGTAACTTCAGCCCAAACAGCCATAAAAGTAACTCCAATCTTATTACGTGTTTGGTGAAAAAGTTGGGTGACAAGCCTGATAAGCCGAAAAACAGAGGTTCCAAACGGCCTCTTATTATTATATTAATATCCTTACCATCTTTATCACATATTTCCGCAAGAACAAACCATCATTATTAGACAAATATTTTCAAGTAGAGTAATTCCGTATACATGTTCTTCCTCTTATAATTCTAATTTCTTTTACATGTAAAATTGGATTCTGTATATCCGTGTTTATTTCGATTTTTTTTTTAAATTTCATTTAACTTTTTGTAATTAATTAATTCCAAATAGCAGTAGTCGAGATCGGCCAATTTTTTTTCTTACTCTTGTGAAGTTTTCTTGTCATTATATCTATGCTGGTTTATTTTTCAGAAATCAACATTCAATATCATCATAATATAAAATCATCATAATATAAAAACAATGAGAAATTGAAAGGTACATATGTTCGAAAGAGAACTAAAAACGTCGTTTATTACTAAAGGGATTTAGATTCAATAATAATGAAGATGCACGCACATAAAGACATAAAGTTATCTCCTTTTGCTAACAAAAAGTAGTTCGAGATTTTTCATGTGATATTAAAATAACAATATAAACACTTTGCAGTAACTATTTTATTAATTATAAGTATATTCGAAATTCATTCAATGGTATAACTATATTTCCATTTTCCATTATTCAGATTTTAAAATAAATTGTTTAAACCATTGGCAAATTGATTATAACTTAAAAATTATAATTAGAAATGATTCCAAATATATAACCAAAACAAAAGTAGTAGACAAAAAGTGACCCTAATAACTTTAGTAACTAATTATATTAAAATGTTACATCGTAGTGACTATAAAAGTTACTCATGCATATTAACTTATAATCACACTTTTTGTCCATATATTTTTTATTAAAACTATTTTAGAAAAAACTTCACTCCTTTTTTTTGAATTACCTGATGCTCCAACCATAAAAAAAGACAAACATCTTGTGGTTCGATGGCATCACTGTGACACTCCCAAGGCGGAGGTCACAAGTTCAAAAGTCATTCAGGTCAAGAATGTTGGTATTTAATAAAACAGACACTATGAGAAAAGAGAAAGTACATAAAAACGATTAAAAACGAAGAAAAAAATAACCGATACTCCGTAATATACACATACGGAGTACTATAATTGAATAACTTCGAGTAAATTAAAGACACAAACATACTATTATTTTTAGCATGAACACTATACTCAATAGTAGAGGTGAAGTCGATCCCGGTTCCGGTCCCGGACCCATCAGTGCTAGGGGAAGACCGAGTCCGGTCAAGGGCCGGGCGTGATCCACTTATATTTAATTTTACATTTACGCCAAAAGAAAAATTGGTCAAGCTGGGTCAGGAACAACCCGGTCCGGTCCCAATAGTTCAAACTCGGGCCAGGCCTGCCAGTTACCCGATTGGGTACTCGGTCTTGAACCAGGACACGAAAAACAGACCCAATCTAGTCTCAAATTGTGGCGGACCGGGTCCCGAACCGGATCCACCCCTACTCCTTAGTACGATAGTAAATAACAACTTCAGCTCAATATGATAAAGTTGAATGATGAATTGATGATGATGACTGGCTCATCATGATCGTTGATAAAAAACTTCATAATAATTTGATCAACGTAATGCATGCTAATGACTTCATCCTATTTAACTTTGATAATTTTAGAACTAC